GCTTGACTTCAAAAAAACAAACAAACTAAAAACCAGCATACTGTAGTACGTTTTCCAGCTAAACAGTGTGTAAATGTTACCAGAATGTATATCGTGTGAACGTTGTCAGACTGAATAGCGTGTGAACGTTGTCAGACTGAATAACATGTAAACGTTGCCAGGCTAAATATCATGTAGTCTTTACTCTTAAAACCATAGCTTGGATAATTTATGTGTCTAGGGTAGAACGCATGCGTATAATTCTTTGTGATAGGGTCACGTGTATTGAAAATCACATGTGAAATACAATGATGAATAAGGTACGTTTATTGGGTATTTTCAAAGCGATGATTGAATTTTCAAAACTTCTACAATGCACAAAGATATTTCACCTGTCACGTCTGGCTTCACGTGTCAAAGATGGCGCGTATTGCTTCAACATTTAGAATTTTATGGGCCAGGCTTTCTTAAGTGTCCAGTTTGATGTCGCCAATGTTCTGGGGCAAATTTCTCTGAGTACCTACTTTACACAAATATATATACCCATTTTACATGATAGACAATGGGTAGAGCTTTCCAAACATATATAATATGTTGAGTTTGTGTGTGAAGTTTTTCCAGCAAACCAAAGAAGTAAACAGTGGTGGGGTGTTAAAAGTAGAATGTCGCCAGCAGAAAAATGTAATTTCAAAGCAATAACACAAAGAAAAATATTGTAAGTATGACTCAAGCCTTTAATTTGATTAATTAGTAAACATTTATGTTTTGAAAATTTGTTATTAGCTGATTGTCCCATTATTTTTTTCACGTATAAAGATATCCAAAATAACATGTCGCCGTAATCATGTGTTCTCCTTTACGGTTGTTTATTTTAAAGACAATAATTGAAACTTTTTGAGTAAAGAAAAAGATTAGAGTTTAAAAGCAATCCGGGAAGTATATAACTTGATTTGATCTTACCCCAAACAGAGGGTATCAAGAGGTATTTTGGGTATGTCCATTTGGAGCTCATAATAAAATTAGTTTTTTAAACGCGTGATCTCCTTTACGCATATATATATATCTAGTGTAGATACTCAAATTATGTAATTTTGTTATATCTTTATACACAACAGCCAAGACATCGATAACTGAGGGCCCGGCATGGCCAGGTGGTTAAGGCACTCGACTCGCAATCTGAGGGTCGCGGGTTCGAATCCCCGTCACACCAAACATGCTCGCCCTTTCAGCCGTGGGGGCGTTATAATGTGACGGTCAATCCCACTATTCGTTGGTAAAAG